TATATATATATATATATAATTTATGATTTAATTGATAATAGTGACATATATTTAAAAGTTAAAATGAAAACAAATAGTTAAATTTAAAAACTTAAATAAATCATAAAGTGTTTTTATTTTTTGTTTCAGATACTCATACATTAATATCAACAATTTTTTTTTTGGAGTAATGATACATGTATAATATAATAATTGATTAAATAATATGCGTAAAAATATGATATAGTAAATATGATTTCCATTTACCCAAAAATATTAGTGTAATAGGTGAAGGACGAAGGTAGGGCGAAGCTACACGACTTATACCATTACCATCCAATCACAATGTTACCTTCTTATCCCGCTTCAGCCACCCAAAAAAAATAATTATTAATCAGCAGTCCAATAACTTTATTTATTATTATGGATATGATTCACACTTTAGAAGGATAATTTAAGCCTTGCACGCCTCTAAATCCAAAGCAACAAGAAAGGAAAACAAAAATAAAATATATAATAAATCCAATGGGTTGGTTTCCACTACTGTGAATAATTCACTAGTAACAGTGTCAGCATTGTAGTATTGCTATTACACATTGACTAAATAATGAGATGAGTAGCATATAAATATAGAGAAAAAGGACTATTATCATCTTATACAATCACAAATGATTATTTATAATAATTTTTTAACTATTATAATAATTATCTTAAAAATCATATAAAATAATTATATTGATTAGTATTAAAAAAATTAATAAATAAAATAATAGATAAAAAAAATGACATTCTTATGACCACTAAACAGAAAATTAATGATATATTGAGAATTTTGAGATCAAGTATCAATATTTATTTAATGGTTAATTAAAATTTAATAGTATTTAATTTAACTTAAAATTTTACTTGTTAACCAAGGGCATCTCCAATGGAAGCAACTCATTTGAGTTGCTTCATGCATTGAAAAATGAAAAAAGTGATCCCTAGTGTGCCATATCAGCATTAAGCAACTCAAACACAAATTTACTTTAATGGTAAGAAACTTTAAGAAATTCAATTTTTAGAAATTTTTTTCTAATCATTTATGAACCAAATTTAAATTTTTATTAAAAAGGATAATTACGCTACAATGAAAGAAAAAAATTATGAAAAAAATACACAATAAATAGATATTAAAAATAAAATAAAGCAATAATAAATACATAAATATTATATGAAATTAATTTTCATCATTATTATTTTCGAAACGTTTTCAAATATGTTCAATAAAATCTGCTTAAAATCTGGTAAGGAATGGTTGCTTGAGGAAGCAACTCTCTCTCTTCTTCAAGCAACTCATGTTACCACGTCAGAGTCCTCCAATGACAAGAAACCGAGATTCGAGTTGCTTCATAAGACAAGCAACTCCCATTGAAGTTGCTCTGAGGGTCATCGAAAAACTAAAAAAAAATTCACTTTTGACAAGTCAAAGCCTCTTCTTAAATAAATATCTTATCAAAGTAGGATTTTATATCGTAAAAAGTATTAAACTTCGTAAAAACATATAAACTCATACATAATTATTTACCATTTGTGCCAATTATGCCAACACATGATTGACTGAGAATTTAAAAACTTTTTAGCCTGCACTATATTATCATTAAATCCATAAATATATATAGTCAACATTAACCAATGTTTGTCCTCCAAATATTACATATATATATAAATCAGTTCAAGATCATAATTTATAGCTCAGTTCTGATCCCTTCTGTGAATTGAATTGTATCAGCAAGCAAAGCATATCAGAAGCTTGTCCCTTGTCAGTACTTTCACTGAAATCCAAGTCAGAGTCAAGTCTCACTTCCCCAAATTCCTCACCCTTTTGGCCTTTTCCCATTTAGAAATATGATTGAGTTCAATACCACCAAGAAGAAAATGTGGATGTTTTCACACTAATCTTCCCCTTAAACCCCAACTAGCTTATTCCCTGCGTAATGGAAGTTATGTCCAACACCATCAAACACCAAACCATCGTAGCAGCTTCACACACCATCCATTTCCATAACCTCACCTTTTGGTTCAGCCCTCCTACTCGTCCACCAGGTTAATTTCCTTCTTCTATTTCTCTTGTAGCTCCACTCCACCAAAAGGTTTTATAAGGGAAAGAGTACAATTTCCATCACAACATCAAGATTTTTGGAGTCACTGTGGTTCGCAATTTCTTGCAACATCAAGGATCACAACATAATCAAAACTGCCACTGTGACCGCAATTTGAAACCTTAAGTATTATGGTTTACTCCTATGACAAAACCTCTTCTTCTGGCTCTGATGTTTCGGGGTTGTTCAATCCCACTTTGCATAATCTTGGTGCTTCCAATGGTGTTTTGAGGGGTGGCTTGTCATCACCACATTCTTTGGTTTATGAGAGTGACAAGGGAGAGCTGGTGAAGTGCCCTTCAACTGCAAAGGTGGGAAAGAATGAGATTTGTGAGGCCAAAGCTTTAGCTGCTTTGAAGAACCATAGTGAAGCAGAGAGGAGGAGGAGGGAGAGAATTAATGGCCATCTTGCAACACTACGTGGCCTTGTGCCATCCACTGAAAAGGTACGTTTTTATTCCCTCCTTTTCCTTCTATTGGAAACTAGGTCTTTTGTTGTGCATGGCTTGTTAGAGTATCGAATTATTTTGGCTTTTTAGTTTCATGGTTTCTCTTTGTATAATTGCTTTAGCATGTTGATCTAAATATGACTTTTATGTAGTTGCTCTACTTGAAAGATTGTGATCAAATTGGTTTTGCTGATTTAACATTTCTAAATTTTGTTATCTTGCCAGTTTTTGCATAAAACCATGATAATGTTTCTATGAAATGCATATTCTATTGGTGATAGGAAATAATTGATTTGACAGAAGGTTGAAACTAGGTGAGAAACGATTTAGTCTTCTTTTTTGGCTGAACCGGTTAAGTTTGAAGTTAAATCACAATACAAGCTATCCTATATATCAGGGAAAGCTGACAATGAAAGATTTTGGGTAAGAAAAACATATATTAAGTTATCAATCAATGCTACTTGACATAAAAAATCCTGACTTTTGACATATTAGTCCAGTTTTATACACAATGTTCAGTTATGGTAATTTTATTTTCAGTTATGTCATTATGCTTGTGGCTGAACGTACATTTCCCTTTCATGCTGTATGATAATGTTGAAAATAGAATGGAACTCAGAGTCTACTGTATATAAACACCACAAGTTTTGAGATTTGAAGCACATCATTGTAATTATTTTAATTAAAATTTAAATTAAGGGCTTTTGATTGCATCATTGTTGTCCATGTGTGGTCAACTAGGTATATGGGTGTTGCTACTTGCTAGAGTCAACTACCAATGTGCATCACTTGATTATGTAATGTGGAATTATTTATTATGTATGACAAACATCCTCACATATTATAGTTTATTATTTGGATTAAATATGTTCTTAGCTCTTGAACTTTTATCAATATTTATTTTTAGTCTTTGAACAGATTTTATTTGATTTTAATCTCTAAAACTTTTTTATGAACAAAAAAAATTGATATTAGAGACCAAAATATAATCAACAAAAGTTCAAAGACTAAAATTAATAAAAAGTTTGTTCAAGAATTAAAAATAAAAATCAGTAAAAGTTCAAGAACTAAAAATATATTTAAAATCTATTTGGATACAAGTTTAGAAATATTTTTCAAAATTTCGTTACTAAAAAATACTCCTTATTTTCAGAAGAGAAATTATAAAAAATAAAAAACATTTAGAGTTTGTATCCAAATATGCTCATAATCCATCGTAATTATAATGTATACTTTTTTCTTTTAAGGTTATATATAATCCCAAATTTGGAATTCTTCATTTATTATTCAATAATAAGTTATATACATGCAAAGCATATGTTTCCTTCTTGTGCCCCCCACGTCATTGGCTGGATATTACTGGCCGTGGTCTATTCTAGTTGTGATTATGTTCATTTAATTGTGTCCATATATAGCTTCTTCTATTATTATTAGTTTTTTGTTTGTTTAAAGGTTACTGGTTTTGGTTGGATTGAATTCTAAGAAATACTTTAACAAAAGAGAAAAGGAAGCAGACAATTAGTATTTTTGGTTTTTTCCTTGAACAAGTTATATGAATCAAATTATAAAACATTAAGCACCGTGGAATGTCAATTTTGACCAGGTATTTTAATTTGAGGGTCTTTATCTAAGGAGAAAAAAAGAGAGCATAAATGTTATAAGGAGAAAAAAAGAGAGCATAAATGTTATCACTAGAATCAGATTGACATGATATTCCTATCAAGCGTTGTTGTAGACGTGCCAGCTGTTCTGGTTGTCATATGACAGAGTCAGTTTTTTAAAGTATTATGCTATAGTTTGTGCTTTGCATGTTTTGTCTTGTTTTGATGTGCAGTCATATTCTGTTTGCTGGCTAACTGATAATGGTGAAGTGGGACATGGAAGGAAAACCATCACAAGTTTTAACCATTGGATAATCAGAATTTGTTATGTCATTAGACACTTAGTATAATCAACTACTTTAATTAACTCAATTACTTCGTTTGGCGTCTATTGTAATGAATTTATCAAAATGATTCAAGTCATCATTATCAAATAATAAATCAACTTGAGTTATCACTTATCACCCTAATAAGCTTATGCTGAAGTCATGTTGATCGCTGGATGAGGCGATAATAGAAACAATTGTGGTAGTAACTAATTCATAAGGTCACTGTCCTTGTAATAAATATAAAATAAAAAAAATAGAAAAAACAATAGTACATTTTTTTTTTAAGTACGCAACTAGAATTAATGCTACTTTTTGTTTATGACTGTCCTTTCTTTTGTTTAATAAAACATTTGTTAGAATGTGTTGATTTTGATTTTGATTTCTGGGGACCATCGTTACTCTTTAGATGGACAAAGCCACTTTATTGGCTCAAGTTATTAGCCAAGTGAAGGAATTGAAGAAAAATGCAGTGGAAGCAAGCAAGGGTTTGCTAATCCCTATGGATGCTGATGAAGTGAAAGTTGAACCATATGATGATGAAGGAGGAAATGGATCCATGTTTTACAGTGCAACTATATGCTGTGATTTCCAACCTGAGATACTATCTGACCTAAGAAAGACCCTTGATTCCCTTCCAATACATCTAGTGAAGGCAGAGATTTCAACTTTGGCAGGTAGAATGAAGAATGTGTTTGTCTTTACATGTTGCAAAGGGACCAACATTCATATTGAGGCATGCCATGCTCTAGCTAGTACTGTTCACCAGGCACTATGTTCTGTACTGGAGAAGGCTGCTGCCTCACTGGAGTTCTCACCAAGAACATCACATGCAAGCAAGAGGAGAAGACTCTGCTTCATTGAAACATCCACTTCCTCATGCAACCATGGATCTTGTTTGTGTTGATTTCAACATGTTGCTGTGTTATGTTATATTTGATAAAAGTGTTATTGGTATTTCTTATTTTGTGAGGACTGCAAGAAACAACACACTTGTTAGTATATTGTTTCACATATTTTCTATTGCTGGTGAATCTCACATGGTAATAGTAATATATGAGATTCATGAAAGAGTATGTGACACCATGTAATGAGAGTCACATTTATCCTATAATAGAAATTGTGTTAAAAAGGGCTTGTGAGAAAATGTTTTGTTAAAATCTCTTGCAACTGCAAAGCTGGATTTGTCTTTTATTATGCAGGCAATAATGGGTTTGTGTGGAAGCTGTCATTTTGTATGTGTGTGGAGCAATTGGAGATTTGTGTTATTAAGTGAGAATAATTCAGTAGCATCAAGAACTATTGGGTGATTGGGAAGGTATGTTGTGAAAAAGAAAGGTGAACACTGAATATGTATGTATTGCAAATAATTATAATACTATCACTTTATATGTGTCGCTTTCATCATTTGTCCAGTAAATTTTTCATAGTAGAAAATAAAATGAAAATAAAGTGATATTTTTATAATTATTAATAATAATAAAAATAAAGTAAGAAATATTTCTCAAACTCAGAAACTCGGTACCAAAGTGCTTTACAACAGTTCACGTATCGTATTAACCAATTTGACTCATTTGATTTAAAAAAAAAAAAAAAAAAAAAAAAAAAAAAAAAA